TGGACTTGGAGGAAAGACATCGGATCAGGACTTTTTGATTGATTGGGAGAGGGATGACGTTGTCGAGAAGGATGGACGTAGGAGGAGGAGCCTTGGCAGATCGCGATCGGTCTCCGAAGCGAGGAGGGAGAGGAAGTTGCATGGTGTTGAAGAGAAACGCGGCATATCCGATCCATGTCATGGATAACTTTGGTTCGAACGTGAAAGATCGGTTGCTTAGGAAGTATTTTGCAGTCAGCTCAGGGGCAGCCGTGAAAATTGCTACCAAAAGCTCGCTGTGTTTCAAACTGGACCAAGGGCGCAACTTTTGACCGAATTCGGCAAGGACAAAGTTATACACAGGAATGTCTTGCTTGTATTTGTCGGCGAAGAGCGCACCCTGTGTGCCAGCCTTCGTCCGCCCGCTTGGCGTTGGGTCGTCTTCAGACTCTTTGGGGTATAGACCAGTGGAAGGATACAGTATACCAGCGGTAGGCGTCGTACAGATGTAGATGAGGAGTTGATGGGCCTTATAGCTCACCGTTGACTTCTCATCGACATCCTCGCCATCGCTGGAGTATGTGTATAGAGCCAAGAAGCGTACCAACGACTTGGTGTTGAAGCATCGGAACTTAACTTCTCTAGGAATCTTGTCATCCTTGAGAACATATAGCTTCAAAGAGTCGAGAATATCCACAACGAGGTACGCAGGGTCGCTTTTGATCATAAAAGTCACATGGGACAAAAGTTCCTTCTGAGATACAAGTTCTTTCCGTCCATCTGAACCCAAAAACTTGAGAAGGCTCAAGAAAAAACGGACAGCATTTGTCCTGACGGAAGCTTTGCGCACATCTTCCTGCGTATCTCCGATATGTCCAATTTCAAGATTTCGTCCAAGCAATGTCAATGTGAAATTTCGGGCGCGGAAGATTCGCTTTGCATAGGCGCCTCCGTCTAGGCATGTAGCTTCTCGAAGGAGACGGAGAGTAGGCGAGATGATAAAACCCTTGCTCTTTTCTACTGACAGATTCTTCGCCAATGACTTCAGTTGTCGCTCTTGTAGAAGGGTCTGGCAGATACCGAGGCCATGCTTGACAAGCTGTAGTGAGCCTGAGAGGACCTGGAGTAGCAAAGCCAGGACCACGGCAACGGACGACATGACACCGTCGTTGTTGACCTGCACGGCGAAGGACCACATTTCCATGATATCGTTGAGAAAGACTGCATCTTCGGATGTGTCTCTCGGCTTGACGGCTTCAAGGTATTGATGTAGAATGTCGAGGTTTGCTCTTCGGTCGCCCTCTTCGTGAACTATTTGATCGAGGAGATTCTTGAAAGATTGAAGGCCTAGAGGAGTACGCATCAGATCAAATCCGTGAAGGTGCTGTCAACAACATCGTCACTTACCATGCCTGGCGTTGCGCAAATCCTGGTCAAAAGACAGGAGATTGCGCAATTGATCGCTTGAAGTAACTTCTTCGCTTGTGGGCGCCTCGTGTATTACTTTCTGGCGCTTGCGAAAAGCGGCAGCGCCATCTCCGCTGTTGAAGTCCCGTTTGCCCATTTTGACGACCTCAGAGCTTGTCGCAATCTGGATCTCTAATCCATGAATTTACTTGACTTTTTGGCGTTCTGCCACGCGTGACCGCTGTCCCGCCTGCCAGATTCGGAATCAGGGACCAACGGTGTGGAGACGCGGTAGATCTATTTACCCGGTGCTGTTGAAGTTTATAGGTATGCTGCCAGTCTCAAGATCCTTCCAGTCTTGGAATCTTTCTTGACCAGGAAGTAACACGGAACCTCAGAAATTTAGGCATGGAATAACAATCTTGCAGTTGACACCACATACTAGTCGTCATTATCTGTGGTGTTGTTTGACCATCAAACATTTTCCTTTGTGTTGTGGCTGTGTACTTTGAGAGGCTGGACTTGAGCTGCTCAAAAGCTCAAGGTACAAGTCACAACGCAGAGGAAATTGTCTATACGTTAAGACGGCAGAGGTATTGCAAAAGAGACAAGATGGTTTTCTGAATGAAGAGGAGGTTGGCACATTGTGTGGATCTTTGTTTGCTGTTCTCAGCAACTTGCATTCGTTCTTCCAATGCATTGAGCACTTCCTTGAAGCAGTCGATAAGCAAGCCCCTGACTTGGTTACATTGCATTGCATATTACAACCTTGCCTTGGAATCAACCTTGGTTGAAGATAATCATCTCCATCGACCTCTAATCGACTGTTACTCTTCCCACACAGAACGAGTCAACTGAGTCAAACGAGTCAACAACTCCACTCACAAAAACGAAGAGGCCGCATCGATCCCACATCGTGAAGTCAAATGCGCCACTCCCGTTACATCCGCCGTTGCAGAGTGGAAGGAGCGAAATGCGCAAGAAAACAAGGAAAACAGACATGAGAGGATCCTTCGTCTTTTTCAACAGCCATTCCCGAAGTCAAGACTGATACAGGTTGCCCTCCAAACTGATTATTGCGCCTTGTGCGGGATGCGATAAAAAAAAAGGTCATCAGTCAGAATGACTGAAGATCGCCACTAGAACATCCACCATCTGCTATTTTGTGCTTGATGGAGAACACACGATCGCATGTGAATGGGCTCTTGTCTCCATTATCTTCCCTCTGTCGAGCTTCTGGATGCATCCCTGCCAGAAGCTAGCCAAGCCACTCATGCTTCAACTTAAACGTCGCTATTTTAAGAAGCAAGGAATGGCAAAGTCAGGGGTACCACCCTCACAAACACTTTCACCTGACGACAAGGCAACGGAAGGCAGCGTAACGGAATTTCGCAGGGCACCAAAAGCAAACACTACGCGACTCCCCAGCTAACAACCATGGATGTTTGCAGCAGCAACAGGGAGCGGTCCGGCTGTCGATCAGGCTTGACACCGACCCAGCTGCGCGGTTTGACCTTTTAAAGGTCTCTCTGAACCGAGGTGCCCTAACAATACTCTTCTGGCACACTATCCTAATGACCCCACAAATAAGCCATCCCACCTTGTTTGTTGGTGTTAGTGGTTTTGGCGACTCTCACTGAGACAAATGTCGGGCTGTGCATTGTTTCTCCGGCTGAGAGACGACAGGAGGCAATTACAATACGACATCGATATCAACGTAGTATGGCCGCTTACCGTCAGATGCCGCTGAAGGGCCAAGCAATACATTTCAGCCGTTCTGGTCTACCAGCGCCAAATATTAAAATTTCGGGACTATCATCGTTTAGTCATTTTGTCTCAAGTTTTCAAGGCAGGCGAATCATATCGCGTCAGCTCACGCCAGAATACGGACCATCACAATGGCCTCGTGCTCATCACTATTCTGGGCGCCATGGAACATCATTGACGGCCGTTTTGGGATGTAACGGCCGGTTCTTTAGCCAAGTAATAACATGTCTGGCCCAAAGGAGCATCCGGATTTGATGAGAGGCAGATTGACAGGCGTTCCTGAAGCTCCCACGTTTCAAGAGACCCTAGCATTTCACAGCTCACAGACAAACGCGGTTGTCAGTCGCAAGGTTGAAGAGTAACAAAACGTGCAGCATACCGATTTGATGGAGAAGAGATGATGAAGAGACCAAGTTCCGGGGTGCATCTACCAATCAGCCTGGCAGGACCAGGGTGTTGCCCAAACCGGCGGTGCAACCCCAAATAAGATGTATGGATGCAACGTTAGATGTCGATTCAAGGAAGACAAACAGAGTCGACAAGGCTAAGATTTGCACTAGGAGCCAGCAAGCGAGGCAAGCTTCTGTTGTGCGTTTACCGAAGAGAGCAGGGCTAAGAGCTATGACCTTTGTTTGAACATGCGCTCTGTACAACGTCTGACGAAGAACGTCTTTTGTTCAAGGTTACAAGCCAGACCAATAGATACCTTAGATATGGAACTGGTGTTTTGACGACGCCTTCGCCAAGACCCAAGTTCACACCAGTTCGATAAGAGAAAGTGAGAAATGCGCAGCGTGACGACACACAGCCTCGAACACAGGCAAAGGCCTCAAACCCCGTCATCTCACGCGGCTATCCAATACGGTAGCAGCACGAGATCTCGCCTGGGGTCTTTTGTGGCAAGGACAAGCAGACCGAAAAGTCAATGGAAGGATCCACGACCAGCCAAAGGGAGAGTTGGAAGTGGAATGGAGTGGAACCAAATGCACGACATCGACTTGACTCGACTCTCTAGACTTAAGCCAAGGGCAACAGCGACACCATCTCGGGCACTACGTATGGCCCAGTGAATGTGTCTCTGTGGTGTTTTGATGAGTTGGTGTGGAGCGCTAACATGATCGGGAGTCCGTCAAGACCGTCTTCTAAGCGCCGACTGGTCCGGCGAGACAACCGACCCCGGTCCATCACCTGCACCGTGGGTTCGTCTTGGACAATCCTCAACCACTCGATACATCGTCTTGCATCTCCCTTGGCTGCCGCCCATTTTTTTTCTTATTTAATTTTTTAAATATCGATCGTAATGGGGCCTGAAACTAACCCAGATCCCACTACAGACTCGTAGGGGCACAGGTGCCAATACTGTTGTTTGTTGCCTCTGTGGGTGTGGATATACTACCATGGGGAACGTCGCGGCCCGGCCGTCATCCACGAGATGGGCTGGGCTGCATTACAAGTTGCTTGCCGCTGTTTGCTTCTCTTGTTCTTTTATCTGCCGGGTCCCTGGTCCTCTTCCTGCAGCTTTCCCGTCTTGCTTTACTTCTTGTCCTATCCCATTCCTCTCTTTCATCAACCACACTCCTCTTCTGCAGGTGCTAGTACTGGTGCTGGCTTACATATACGAAGGAGTGTACTGTACATACATACACACATACATACACACTCATATCCCACCTTATCTCCATACGTTGATCCGCCTTTCAGCTTCTCTAACATTTTTCTTTTGCTTCGTTGAGTAACGAATCGTTCGATCTCCTCTCCGCCATTCTCCTCTCCCCAACATTCTATACGCTTTCTCGGTATGACGTGAGAGCTTCGCAGCATGACACACGCCGGTTCTCACGGTGCCCATGGCTCTGAAGGAGCTTCTTGGCCATCGTGGCTATCTCTCTGCTGCGCACCGCTGGTCTCCTCAGAGGACAGGAGGCCACGTCGTAGTAAGTCTATGTCTACTTCTACCTCTGCCCACACTGCCAATGCTTGGGCCTCGGATTCTTCTTCAACTTTGAATATTTCGTGGCCCGTAGGCAGGTTGAGCGACGACCAGTTGCTGATAGGCCAAGTCGATGAGAAGCGTTCATATCCAGTAATAATCGACCAACCAATTCACCATCCCCAGCCTGTGGCAATGCCAGAGCATCGTAAAATGTCGGAAAGGTCTACAAGAGACAGTGTCTCGTCAAAGAGAAGGAGATTCTGGTCACTCTCTTCAAGTTCGCGCCGGCCGCTCATTTCAGCCCCTTCAGACTTTCGCCATGTATCAACTGCTGCCGATCCATTTCTTGATTATCCTGAGCCTACGCCATCGAGGGCTTCGAATCTTCGACCTGCGAAACAGTTACCTCATCGCCCTTACCGACCACTCGAGCTGAGCATCTATCAGTCCGACAATCGTGTGTCTCCTATCATGCCTCACTTTGACCCAAGGCCTGCGAACCCGGCTCCCTCATCAGACTATTCTGAGTGTGTGTCGGATTTGCCGGATAGCCAACCCGAAGAAGTGAAACCTTCATTGGAGCATCAGAAGAGCTTCTCAGATTCTCCCATGTCATTTCACTTTCCACGTCGCCAAGCTATGGGAAGTGCTCCTAGTTCCTCTCATGGAGAAGATGAGATCCCACCTTTAATCCCCCCCAAGTCACGGAGTCGTCCTCGCGCGTATAGCTCGCCAGATGTAGAAAAGGTCAAGGAACGAGTTGCGAGTGCCATGCTAGAGGTTGAAAAGCTTCAGAAGCAGATTGACGATGTCATCGAAAGACAGAGTCTTTATGTTCCTAGTCGACCACCAACTCCCCACTCGATCGCCCGAACTATGCCCGGTATGAGCTCGATCTACGGACCTGGTGACGAACCGGTCCCGCTGACTTCCTCAGACTTGGAGCCCATGCCGTCAATTCCCGCCCTTCCCCCAGCAGCTCCTTCTTTTGCTCAGCGCCTCAACTCTGATATCATTGAAAGGCCGCACACAGCACCCATTAGGTCTCCTCGTACGCCCGTGAGGGCTCCTATTATACCACCTCGCCGATCCCGAACTCCTGGTGAGCAAAGGTCACCTTCTACCCCTCCTTCTCGTCCCAGGCGAGAGGATATGACCCCACCGCCACCTCTACCTTTAGTACTTCGACCTCCTCTGAGGAAGAAGAAGTCTTTTTCCCGGGTGTCGAGCTGGCTCTTCCCCGGGTCACAGCATAGCCGTAACATGAGTTTCGACTCTGTCACCAACGCTCCTCGCCCTATCAGGGGCAACCAAGGTTTTTATCAAGTTTCGCTGGGCGGAGCATCAGAACATCGGCGGAGCACAGAATCAGTCGATACTGTCAGTACTTGGGAGTCGGATGACGAGAATCGTACAGTCCCGACAACATGCTCAGTGGGTAGCACAGCTGCTGTGTCACAGGATGAGCCCCTCATCTCGCGATTTGCCACTTCAACGTTTGGCAGAAACGATACCCGACCTCAACGGAGGAGTGTCGGTGTTGCAATGTGAAGGAATGACTGAATATTTTGGCTTATACCCCGCGTTTTCTCTTCAACGTTTTTATGACTTATACACTGGATGATACCATTCGTACTACGGCTTGTTGCCATGTAGCTAGACTACGCGGCAAGGTCTTTGGGTATTTGATACTATGGTAATGGGATAAAATATTTGGGAATTGGGTTTGGATTAAAGAACTGGTTTCTGGGCGGCAGGTTTGCTCTAAAATTTATGTCCAAGTTAAACGATAAGGGTTGGAGGTATAGGAGCAGAGATGTTAGCTCGAGATCTGCATGATACAGCTACAAAACAATCCGCCTAGAGCGGTATATCCCATTCCATACTTTCCATGTCACTCGTTGTTTCCATCAGCTGAAGTGAAGGGTATTGATGTGATCTAATAATAGCACCACCACCTTATCATCATGTTGAAGGATCAGAAGTTTAATTGTCCAAATTTTCATTATTTTCATTATTTCTCTTCTGAATTATGTATCATCGTTTCACTGGTTAATGATCGTGATCATAATCACTGTAACAACTGCTGAAGACATCGGCATGTGGCTAATGGTGCCTCATTCGTCAGCCTCATGACCATGCACGTGGCCCACTCTCACCTGAAGTGAAGTGAAGTGAAGTGTCTTTGAACCTCCAACATTCAGGGATACTCAGCTTAGCTTAATCAACACTATTCGCAGCCAACAAATGCGATCAAACGCAAGGTTATCATAGAAAGAGCTTTCAGTAGCTCAATACCTCAAATTCTGCGTGTTTGTTCGCACCAGTCGTTACTTATTTAACCTTATCGTCCTCATAGGGACCTATTGGCTCTCATAAGCATCTACAACATCCCTGTCAAGATAACCGAATCAGTAGAGATGGTTCGACTTCCGCGCGACGACGCGCCTTCAGAAGCGAATCGTTCAGATGTATCTGATGCCGATGCTGAGAGAGGACGACTACTATCTGAAAATGATGATGAAGCTGAAGAGAGCTATGCGGACGCCGAGCGACTTGAGAATTGGCATACAGAGCACAAGCGTCGAGAGACTCGACGATGGAGCTACCTTGTCATGGTAATCAGCACGGTTGCATTGATCACAGTCCTTGCTATTTGGGTTCACAACAAGTGAGTACCCCCATTCAATACTCATATTTGACCTCAAACTGACAATTTCAAGCACACTATCATCTGGATGTGAGTATGACGGAAGCTGCAATGACATTTCCAAGCTTTGGGGACAGTATTCTTCCTTCTTCTCTGTCCCATCAGAGATTGATTCATCAACACCGGATGATTGCGAGGTCGCCATCGGAATCGCCTTGTCTCGTCATGGAGCCCGATATCCAACCGCTGGCAAGACTACAGCATACAGCGCCACCATTGCCCGCCTCCAGAAATCAGTGACCAACTATGGCAAGGGCTACGAATGGCTCAAGGACTACAATTACAACCTCGGATCTGAGGATCTGACCGATTTTGGTCAAGATCAGATGATCGATTCTGGAAAGGCTTTTTATGAACGATACATCGGACTCGCTGAAAAGACGGAGCCTTTCATCAGGGCATCAGGATCCGACAGAGTTATCATGTCGTCTCACAACTTCACACAAGGCTTCTATGCCTCCCGAGGAGAGTCTGGAGATGATTACACCGGTGGCATTCTTGTAATTCCCGAGGAGCCCGGTATCAACAACACATTATCACATGGAACATGTAGCTCGTTCGAGGACAATGATGAGGTTGGCGGCAACAGTGCGCAGACCGCCTGGGGAAACAAATTCCTGCCTCCTATTCGGGACAGACTCAACAGAAATCTGCACAAAGCCAAACTGTCGCTACAGGAGACCATCTATCTCATGGATCTGTGCCCTTTTAACACAGTCAACACTCCTGACGGCGTGGGACAATCCCGATTCTGCGACCTTTTCTCCACGGAAGATTGGCGAAGCTACGATTACTACATGACTCTGGGCAAATACTATGAATACGGTAATGGCAACGTAATGGGACCAACTCAGGGTGTAGGATATGTCAACGAGCTTGTCTCTCGATTGACAAGGAAACCTGTTGATGACCACACCACAACCAATCGCACGTTGGACGCCAATCCTGAGACATTTCCCCTGGACAGGGCGCTATATGCAGACTTCAGCCACGACAACACCATGGTATCTATTTTCTCAGCAATGGGTCTGTACAACTCGACAAGCAAGCTGCCGAAACATCATATCGTGCCAGCTATCCGAGCACATGGCTACTCATCAGCATGGGTAGTCCCCTTTGCTGCGCGTATGTATGTAGAGAAGCTAGAGTGCGGCGCTACAAAGGAAGAGAAGGGAGAGGAATACGTGAGAGTGTTGATAAATGATAGAGTTATGGAGATGGAAAGCTGTGGAGGAGATGAGTATGGACGGTGTAAGCTGGAGGATTTCGTGGAGAGGTTGTCGTTTGCGAGACAGGGAGGGCATTGGAATAAGTGCGGTATCAAGGGATAAACTCCAGGAAGAGTTAGATATACAGAGCGGTTAATTGCATGTTTTTTGTCATTCCGAGAGGCTGGTGTCCGTTGTAATGGACTGAAATGGATTCGGATGCAAGGGAGTGGATTTACTCGGATGAGGAATACGAGGGATGAAATAAGATGCTAATTATTTATTGAGATAGGTTGAAATTTCAAGCCTACCTCACCAAGTAAGAAGAACCCCGAGTCAAATAAGTTTCGCCATTTGATCTTGAAAAGACGCCTAATTGACATCTGCGATTGTGATCATGTTGCAAAGGTTGAGGCTGCTGGAGGAATATGAAACTCTGCAGGGACTTAAACGTATTTCTCCACTACACCAGGCCACTGATACTAAATTCAGAGCCGGGCATCAGCGCCAAGCTCACTGTAAGCGACCCTAGTCCATGGACGCTGACAGAAGTGGACCGCCTTAAGCTTTTCCCGTCCAGTCCATTACATCTCAATTGAAGCCCAGTCAGTGACATCTTCATACTACACTTGCACTGTAGGAGCTTGGACGAAGCACCGCCACCTCATCCAAACGAGACAAGCCAAAGTCAAACAAAGGACACCAAATCTCACCTGCGAAAACAACCTTTCATTGTATCTCCTCCTTCCCACGGCGGAGTATTATTATTCAGATACGAAGATAGATAACGCAATCGTTGCGATTTGCGCCTGATCAACTTCTGTCTCACTATCTCGTCTTTCGTCACCACGCGACTGATCGCATCGCAAACCGTTTGGGACACACAGAAGCGGGATCACAGAAAGATGGTGTCGACGGCAGGAGGTATCGTAATCGCCATTATCGTCCTGCTCGTTGCAGGAGCTGCCGGATGGGTTGTATTTACACAGCTTCGCGCTCGCAGACTCGGCGTATGTCAATTCCTTCGCTCCCAATACTGTCAATCAAACTAACACCCTATCTCTACAGCTTCCCCCTCCAAGTCTCGCCTCTTATCTACCATGGCATAAAGAAGACAATGGCTATGGGATACAGCCGGCCCCAAGCGGCATCAAGGGTTGGTTCAACGATGTCATCCGCAAACTCAAGAACCGCAACAACCGATCCGCCGCAGGCGCTTACGAGCAGTCTGGCGGTGCCCGCGGCCGTCGAGGCTTCGGTCCGCTCGACCCTGATGAAGCGTGGGACTCGCGCGTTGGAAACGAAGCAGACCAATATGGATACTATGAGGAGGACGTTGGTGGTCGCGGCCGGGACACCGGATATGGCGGTGGTTACAACATGAACCTCGCGGCGACGCCGGGATTGTCGGGCGGACGAGGATTCGGCGACGAGGAGGAAGATCGGGGTCGTAGGGCGAGCAGAAGTCCTGCGTCGGGACCTGGAGGACGAAACCCCTTCGATGACGATGCTGGTTCAAGTTTGCGCGGCGTGAGCCCTCGACCTATCGACACGGGAGTTGCGAAACCCAAGAACAGAAGCGGCAGCGCCGAGAGCAGTCCGACAGAGCGACGGTCTGTGTTTAGGGAGAACATGTAGGACTAGGGATAAGTTGAAAGGGTCGAGTATGTTGCGGGAGACGAGCCAAAAGCTGCGCGATGATGGATTGTCTGCGAATTTTGCAATGTTTTTCTTTCTTTCTTTCTTTATTATTTACTGGGCTTGAGAACCTGTGGTTCGTGTGTAGCCCGGATTTGGCTGGGCGGAATTCTGATATATCATGACATTGTGTATATGCTGCGAGGATTCTTTCAATTTGGTAGATTACGGAAGTCTTGTATCACTTTTGTCGATAGTGATTTAACCCTCAATTCACGGCGTTTTTATCCCTTGATTTAGTTGAAAAATGGCATTTGTCCAATTGAAGTACAGCACAAACCCAACGTGCTATTTATCCCCTGTTCATTGAGCATCACCGCAATATCAGGAAGCTCTGGATGGTCTGTTCTGACCGGCCCCGGCTTTCGGCCCCTCACAGACGTCAGCTTGAGCTGCCCCGCCAAATCATTGAGAACCCCTCCATAAATCTGTTCCTCCACTTCATCATAACACCACTTCATCTTGTTCAATTAACAACAAGAGGGAAATTATACACAATGGCTGACATCGATCTCCAAGCTGTTCACGATGAGCTCGTCTCAGTGGCCTACGAAGCCGGAGCCATGATCTTGGCTGCCAATCCTGCTGAGCTCGACACCGACACCAAGCTCAACTGTATGACCATGTCTTATTTCATCTATGATATGTTTTGCAGCTGACACAATTGCAGCCGTCGATATCGTTACCGAAGCAGACAAAGGCGTTGAAAAGATGGTCTCAACCCGCCTCTCCTCATCATTCCCCTCCATCTCCTTCATGGGCGAAGAGACATACAAGCCTGGCATGAGACTCGGCCCTGAGCCAACTTTCGTTGTCGACCCAATCGATGGAACAACAAACTTCGTCCACTCATTCCCCAGCGCCTGTATCTCCCTCGGTCTCGCAATCGATCGTAAGCCCGCCATTGGCGTCATTTATAACCCATGGCTCGACACCCTCTACACCGCCATCAAGGGCCGCGGCGCCTTCCTCACACACGGTCGTGGAAAAGAACCTCGTCGACTTCCTCTCGCTCGCTCACCGCGACCCATTGAGGGCCTCGGCAGTTCTCTCGTCGCTGTGGAATGGGGAGCGCAACGTGACGGACCCAACTTCGACATCAAGGTCGAAGCTTTCCGAAAGCTCACAGCGACTCCTGAGAACGGCGGATCAATGGTTCACTCGTTGCGATCGATGGGTTCTGCTGCGCTGAACATTGCTGCTGTGGCCGCGGGACAGGTTGACTTATACTGGGAAGGTGGATGCTGGGCGTGGGATGTTTGTGCCGGATGGGCGATTCTCAACGAGGCTGGTGGTCGCATGGTACATGGAAACCCAGGCAATTGGGACCCTGAGCTCGAGGCGCGAGTATATCTTGCTGTGCGAGGAGCACCGAGTGGCCAGAAAGAGCTTGTTGAGGAGTTCTGGTGCGTCCTTGGCGATAATAAGCTGGATTACTCTATTTAAGCTGCCAATGAGATATAACGGGGTTATTTTTCTAGAAAGAGTGGGTCCATATAGAGAAAACGAGTGTGAAGCGCGATAATGGGAATTAAGTCACTTGCGAATAGTCTCACTTGTTTGATGATCTTTGTCAAATGCCACTAGCCATCTATAGACCCGTGATAGACAATAGGAAAGGATAGCAAAGCACCTGGTTGCTCCGTAAAAAGATCCCATAATACAGTTGTAGCGGTTTCCGCTTCGTCTCCCTTTCACAAAACTTCGTAGTTTCCGAGACCCCCCTTTTTTGTTCAATATATGGTATCAGCCTAAATGATATTGGTCGTTCCTTGTTTCCATTTTCCTCCTCGGTTCAGACGAGCGATTCTAATTCCGTCTTGACCTTGACCTACTCGGCCTTGACGTCGACCTTCTTGGCAGCAGGCTCGCCGGAGGGAGCATCCTCATCGCGGCTTCGCTTCTTGTTATCGGCAGACTCGTCGGCGGTGGATTGGATGCGGGGGGTGGTGCTGTGTATGTTAGCAGGTGCTTCTCTGTAGAATGGTTAGGGCGGCTTACTCGTTGCTGCTGTGCTTGACCTCATCCTTGGGCTGATCACGGTCACGTCCACCATCGCGTCCACCACGGCCACGGCCTCGACCACGACCTCCCCGGCCGCCGCGTCCACCACGTCGGTCCTTGAAACCGTTCTTCTGGTCGTTCTCGCGTCGCTGCTTCCAGTCGTCCTGGCCACGGCCACGAGAATCCTTTCCACCTCGTCCTCGTCCACCCTTGCCAGTCTCCCTACCCTCATAAAACTTGCGGGGGTTGCTCTGGTTAGGCTCAATCTTCCCTTGTCGAATGAGGTCGTTCTTCTCGTCGCAGTAAGCTCGCTTGCTCATGATCTTGAGATCATGGTCCTTCCACTTTGGCTTGGGGTCAATCTTGACGAACTTGTTCGCCTCATCCTCGTCGGCGAATGTGACGAACACGGAGCCCTTGAAGAGACCCTCGTTTGTGCGTCGGAGCTTAAGGCCCTTGACCTCGCCGAACTGAGCAAAGAAGGTCTCGAGATCGAATTGGGTGTTGGGGGCCTCATCGCCAAAGCCCTTGACATAAACGGTAGCGGCTTCGACCTTAGACTTGGAGGCGTTCATGGGCTGGTAGGGGGTCTTGCGCTTCACGACCTCCTCACCCTCCTCGCCGGAAAGCTCAAGGAACTTGCTGTCCTTGAGAGCAGCGATGACGGCGCTGTAGGGCTGGAATGTTCGCATACGCTTGAAGGAGTGGATGGTCTTGACCTTCATGGGCTTGTTTTCGCTTCCGCCGCATGACTCCCACATGAACTTGTCTTGTGGGAAGTTCCAGTCGCCAAAGTAGAATTCGACCTAGGGGAGTAAGTACGTGCACGCGCGACAGCGAAAGATGGATTAAGCTATACATACCTGCTTGCGGATGGCATCAGGGTCATCAGTAACCTCACGGGTTGAAGGGTCGAATTTGCGGTTGTTGCGAGGATTATCGCTATCATGCTTGGCTGTAGTCTTAAGAATCTCCTTCTTCTCTTCAGAGTTCTCCTCAGACTTTTCTGTGGACTCCTCTGCCTTCTGCTCTGTCTTCTCCTCGACCTTCTCTTCTGTGGGCTGGGTAGTAGGAACCTCGGCCTCAGGCTGGACAGCCTCGACAGGCTTGGGGGCTTCAGCTTCGCTCATTGTGAGTTTCGACCGTTATTTGATAATTGGGAACGATGCGCGATCGCGACTTTTTGACGGGCGCAAGCTAAGAAGTGTTGAGTGGCAAGATAAAGAGGAAAGAAACTAGAAGCGAAGTGAGAAAAGGTCGCGAAAACGAAAAAGATGGTGGCGGGGTTGAAAAAAAGCGAGTCATCGGCGTGACTGTTGCCTGTTAAAACAACTTACCTTGATAGAAAGAACTAATTGGAGGTTACACAATTGATGAATTTTTGTTTGTAGGAAACAAGATTTCAATTGAAGAAGAGCAAAAAAATGCGATTGATTGATTCTGCCGGCGCGAGAAAAAAAATCACATTGAAAAAACCCCATCGAAAGGCCCGTCTCTCGCTAGCCTTAGCTTTGCGATTTCACCGCCCGCCTTTTTTGGCGTTGGAGGTGCGCTACTCGGGCTGTTCTGCTCTGCTCTTTTTCCCCCACCGCGGATGACCCCACTTTCCTGCCGCTCCCTCCATCGTTTTAGTGAGGTAGTGCTGTGAGTCTTTCCTGATCAAGGTGAAGGAGAAGTTGAGAGTTTATCGTATATTATGACGATGACAACTTGAGATCAAACCTGCAATTCGACAAATATAACATGAATCTAGACTATTTAAGAGCAAGTGTCTTAATCGATTAAATCATACATGTCCTCTGTAACAATTTTCCGATCTGACTTATCGAGTTCTGTAACTGTATCAGAACGGTTGATCTTGAGATCGAGTATTGATAACCTTTCCCCAAAATCGAGTTGCCCTACCACAAAGAAACTTGGCAATAAAGCCCATCTAAAAATGAGTTGACCGTGGGCTGTAACCTGATTGGGTACTGTCTTGTTTCCTTGGCTTGGAACCAAGCTTTTTGACCATCCAAGTTGAAAGCGGACCTGAAGATCCATGGCACAGATAAAAAGAATACCACATGCCAAACAGAGAGAAAACCTCCGAATGGAACCGCAAAAGTTACAACATTTTGATACAATAATCGGGAGTTTTCGATTCTCTTGCTTGATCCGTGGCATGATGCGGGAGCGTCCGTCTGCCCGACGCACTTGTGACCTCAGACAGTGATAGAGGAATACTTTGGAATGGTCGAGACTCATATTCAGCTCTCAAGTACCCCTCTAGTTTTGCATTCATTGACCCCACATCCCACTTTTGCAGGGCGGAACTTGGGAATGACATCAGCCATCTTGAGCTATTCTCAACAAGTTGCGCAACATAGTGTCATATAAAATCCGCAGCATCCAGGCACCAACTCCTTCGGATACCAACCGAGGTATCTACCTAATCTCCCACTCTAATTTATCAGTTCGATTCTATACTCTCTTTCAAAACTCTACCAACTATTCACCTATCTGTCTCGCGACAATGCACAGAGTTTGGGCTTGCAGCCACTGAAAGCATGTGCGCTGTCAAACTATGATAATAAAATTCTCGACAAAACCCAATTGCACCCAAAACCATGAGACACTACCGCGGCTCTCTCAAGAGCCTCAATAGAGTCACTACAAGACTCAATACCCACCAGCGTATCCCACGACGAAGATTATCGCATCGCCAACACCGACATCTCTGGACATCTCCATCCAAAAACGATGCCAAGCAAGAAGCACAGCAAAAATCGACGTTTCCAGTAGCAGTAATTACCGGCGGGCTCTTCATCTGGTGGCTCTACCCTTCTGACGACTTTGCACAGCTTTCCGGTAAACAATTAAGGCAGCGAACCCATGAGGACTCTCCAAAGGACGGGGCACAAGACAAGACCCAGGATGAAGGATCAGACGCGGATCAGTCGGCCTGGATAAACTTTGCTCGCCGCTTCGAGACGTTCTGTAAGCTCAACGACGTTCAGTTCTCTTCCTTTTCCGACAAGGTTGTTAGTTATCTCCTCCCGGAATGGTCCAGACTTATCCCAGGCTATGTTCGGAAACTCCAGCGCGAACTATCCATGTCCCCAGGGTCTCTGGCCGACGAGATTTGGCAAGATGCTCACGATCCCTTGATTAATCCCGAGATTCGATATTCAGCCAAAGTTCGAGTTTCACCAAATCTTTGTGATGAGGAGAAGGAATTCTTGTCCCGACGAAAACGAGTTGCCAGAATAGGGTTGGCTAAATATCTCGGACTAAAGGAGGAGGATGTACATCCAGATGATGTTCCAACAATTGCCATGTGTGGTTCTGGTGGAGGGCTGAGAGCACTTATTGCAGGAACTGGATCAATTCTTGCTACAGAAGAAGATGGCTTGTTTGACTGCGTCACATACACCTCAGGCGTGAGCGGCTCATGCTGGCTTCAGGCTCTGAGCCTCACATCGTTCAACAAGGGAAATATCCGCAACCTTCTCGAGCACCTCAAAGCTAGGGCCTCAACTCATATCGCCTACCCACCCGTGGCCTTCCAATCTCTTGCATCCATGCCCACTAACAAATACCTCCTGAGTGGCATGGTCGAAAAGCTCAAGGGTGATCCGAAGGCAGATTTTGGTCTCGTTGATGTGTATGGTGTCTTACTGGCAGCTCGGTATCTTGTGCCGAAAGGAGACCTTGCGGTTAACGACCGCGACTTTAAGCTCTCGAACCAGCGCCAATATGTCCAATACGGGCAGTTACCGCTGCCCATTTATACTGCCGTGAGACACGAGATTCCCGACTTGCCAGAGGCTGCTGAACAAGGACCTATCGAAGCCGAGATCGCCAAGGAGAAAGCCAAGAAGGAGGCTTGGTTTCAGTGGTATGAGATTACTCCCTATGAATTCTTTTGTGAAGAGTTCGGCGCTGGTATCCCCACCTGGGCTTTAGGACGCAGATTTAACCAAGGATGTGATGTTCCTCCTGAGCATGGCTTCCACCTTCCTGAACTCCGATTACCACTCCTCATGGGCATCTTTGGTAGTGCATTCTGTGCGACGCTCAGTCATTATTACCGAGAGATCAAGCCACTTGTTCAGGGCTTGACTGGCTTCGGGACTATTGACGAACTCATCTCGACACGCGACGATGACTTGGTCAAAGTGCATCCTATTGATCCTGCCAAGATTCCCAACTTTGCCTACGGAATGCACGGAAGATTACCGGAAACCACACCGACCAGTATTTATGACAACGAGTACATTCAACTTATGGATGCCGGAATGTCCAATAACTTACCTATTTACCCCCTCCTGCGACCGGGCAGAGATGTGGACGTTCTTGTTGCCTTTGATGCCTCTGCAGACATTAAAACCGACAACTGGCTCTCAGTTGCCGATGGCTACGCCCGTCAACGGGGTGTTAAAGGTTGGCCCGTCGGCATTGGCTGGCCCAAGTCAGGAGAAGCTACATCCCAAGTAGTGGAAGAGCTAGATGAAGCACAGGCGAAATCCACTCGTGAAGCTGAGGCTAAACTTCGCGAAGCCAAAAAAGAACAAGAAGAGCTTCGTCAGGAAGCTCACGAAGAGGGCAAGCAGGTCATGGCTGAGAATGACAAGACCAAATTCGAGCCTGGTGATCAAGAGTCCGGCGATTTGGGATACTGCACTGTCTGGGTTGGGACCAACACAGAACGCAGTACTGAGCCACCACCTCCCTCAAAAGCACTCTCGGACGAGACATCATGGCAACTCATGGAGCCTGATGCTGGCATTGCTGTTGTCTATTTGCCTTTCATCTCCAACGACAAGGTTCCTGGTATTTCCCCCGGAACTACCGATTACCTTAGCACATGGAACTTCATCTATACCCCTGAACAGATTGATAATGTTACTGCGTTGGCTCGAGCAAACTATAACGAGGGAAAGCAGCAGATTCGAGATACCATTCGCGCAGTGTATCAGCGCAAGAAGAAGCTTCGCGAGGAAGCAGAAAAGGCCCAACGTCAGGATCGCTATCGATCTCGTATGAGGAGAGGCGAAGGCATCCGTCTGGGCGAAGGCGATCATTTCAGTTGAGCCTGTAATTTCAACATTGCTGGCAGAATAATCATTTGACTTATAGAACCATGTATCTAGTATACCCATGCAGGCGTCAGGGACGCGGTGTAATGTAAAAAAAATTTGATTCTGACTCTTCTTTTGTTGAGTTTTGTCATTGTGTTACATTGTATCTTACAGTGACGTTTCCCATCCCGATCCTCTAGGATCCTATGCTCCCATGTAATTTTTATACACAGCCCAACCGGGGCAAAAAATTGCTCATTATCCACATGAAGAGCCGACGCCTGATACGCCGCCCTCTGAGTACATTTATCCAACACCACGACATTTCTTTAGACGACCTCACCAATATCGATATGAGGAGCCTTCCAAGGCTTGGCATCCGGCTCGTACATATCACTTGGTACCCGGACCTTGTTGCCGGGACTGTAGAGGTACCACGCTTTGAGGGCGTTCATTGATGCCTTCCACCTGGCAATGTTCAGGCTGGGGCCGCCACCTTCACCAAGCTTCTCAGAGCCACTGTAAATACCAACAATGAATACAGGAGTTCGTGAATGTCGACCTGTCTCGCTTTCTAGACGGGCAATAGGTGCCTCGAACCCTTCGCGAGCGCACAACATGGAGAGCTCTCGTGTAGGTAACTTGAATTCGAACATGGTAGAAACGTCCACTTGTCGAGCGAGCACGTGAGCCTTGACAAAATCGCGAGCGGCATCTTGGCCAGCGTGAGTGTAAACAGCGCCAACAACGGCTTGGACAAATGAAGAGTACGCCTCGTGTTGGTAGTACTTATAGGACTCCTCGCTGCCCATCTTCTCAACTTTCACGGGGTCACCAAAAGCATTGTCGTAGACGACACGGCTGCTGATTCCACGTCGGGGTTTAAATCGGTCGGTAAATGCGGACTCTTGACGGACAGAGCCCCAGCGAGACTGCATATCCGCATCTCGGGGTGCCCATTGTAGCAGACCAGGGTCGACCTCCTCGCCGGGAGCAGCAGCGGCTTCAACACCCCACCTGCGGGCTACTTGATGCAGAGATTCCTTTCCAGAATAGGCGCGGAGGGCCTCGTAGAGAACGGCCATTGGTAGACGAGGCCATTTGCAGATGAGGAACTCGAGGACGTGGTAATTGATGAATGTGCTGCCGAGGAAAGCGAGGTTGGCGTTGTTAAAGCTGGGGTTCTTGTCGGCTGAGGGAACGATGAGGGCTCGGGCGAGAGTTTCCAGAGGGATCTTGTTGGAGAGGGATAACCGGGAGTGGAGAGCCGCAAGCTTAGCCGACTCAGCAGCACGTTCGGGGGCGGGTGATGGTAGACTGGTGAATGTAGGTGTATCTTCGTTGATTTGAGAAGCGGCAGCTGTAGAAGCTTGACGTCGAGTCGTTTGTAGAAATGCCTGTCTGGGGATACCGCTACCGATACCGCGGGCTTGGGCTTGCAGCAATTGGCCGCCCCATCGGTCGATCCGTACCCTCTTCATCGAGCCAAATAAATTCCCTCTCGAATATCCCGTCGGTTTATTAAAAGGCGTCGATGAGACGACGGAGCGAATTGGAGATTGTCGCCTGTTTTTTTCGGTCGTCGACGGGTAAAAAGTTCTGCGCTACAAGGCTAGAGTCGTATGAGCTGGGGTGTGTGGTTTGGCCGGAACAACAGGCGGCCCGCACTACGTTTCTCCCGGGCCAGCCTTGGAAGCTGGGACCTCACCTGTTGGTAACCGGCCATTCGACATCAATTCAACGTCGCCATTGTGCACCCGAAACCTCTCTTTTACGTCCGTTGATCAATTATTCAAAATGGTAAGTGAAGTCTACAAACTGGAGTGAGTCTGTGCTAACAATTGATCTAGGGCGGCGGCGGAAAAGTCCCGTAAGTTTTACCTCTCACGAACCGAAGCACCGAAAGCGAAGCTTTTGCCGTATCTAACCCATCCTGCGACAGCTATCCCAAGCACGTCTGGTCTCCAGCCGGTGGTTGGTACGCGCAGCCTGCGAACTGGCGCGCCAACACCCTGATTGCTGGTGTCGTCATGGCCGGAATCGTTGCCGTTACGTGGAAGTTCAGCGCCGAGCGAGAACAATGGGCGCACCGACCTGAGCAAGGGCAGTGGTACGCTAGCCGACAGTATGTTACCCGATTTCAAAATGGTGAGGTTATGAGCGAAAGTGCTGACAATTGGATTTAGCTGGTCGAAACAGTTGAAGCAGTGGGATGCGGAGGACAGGGAGAATGCGTCAAAGAGCGAATAGAGCCTGGATAAAACGACACTGTGTATAAATTTCTGCGACAAGATGAAGACAATCTGATTCAAGATCAATTTCTGGTTCCTATGATGCTGTGATGATATGAGTCGCTAATATTCCATTTTACGACGCTCCTTGGAACAATCTCGACTGGGATTAAAGGGATGAGAAGCCAAATTTCGAGCCAAGAAGTCTCTTGTTTGTTCCTTCGTCTACCAACATGCTGCTTCTCGAATCAGAAGGTTATTAAACGGGTGTTGATTTTGGTTCCGGAGAGCAAATCAGAGCACTGCTAAATATGCTTATGAGAATTAATATTTCCGCCCAATTCCCGAGCAAGATTCATACTGGTATTTCGAAGGGTTGTATGAAAACGAAAAGTACTTCGAAACTGAGGCGAATTCAGTGATGTCCGAACCTTCTGAATATGCCTTCCATCTGATGTAAGAAACATTAGTCGAATACATCATCTTGTAGGTCATTTCCTTCACGATTCTGAAGCTTACAATGAGTTCAAGATTCGATGCTTGGACGATAGGAGCCACTTCCTCTTGAACTTGAAGTGAGTCTCTGAAGTAAATCCACATTGATGGATCTGGTTTCACACGATGCATCAAACGACCGCAAATAGTGATCCGTTACAGCCGAAACTACGTAACGCTCCTTTTTCGAGCAACCAAGACAAGGGCGATAACAAGGACTCAACAACACAATCGTGACCTTCCTAGGGCCATGTCTTGTGAGAAACAATTTCGGTTCTTTTCTTTGATCGTATACGACAGGCATCGGAGCCTTGTATGAGTAGATGTAATTTGTAAGAATGACCTGACAATAACACATTAAGATGATGACCGTCAGTCGGCAGTACTTGCGACGATGGCTTTCCTTTGTCAATGTTTGTGTGCCTTAATAACATTTGATACACTTTACGCGAGGCTCTCCTCAAGATGCCAACTGGGATGGACCCTCAGAAGATATTGCTTACAGCCCGAGATTCTTACTGGTGAAGCTTTCAGCTTGAGCAATATACAGTACCTCTGACAATGGGCACAAAGCAAGTCATCCTGAAGATATGCAGCTTGATAAACTATGCTGCCGAAATGCTACCTCAGTAACCGTAATTCAGGCATAGCCCAATGGTCCAGTCCAGTCCGCCTGAGATACTGACTGCCCGATATTATGCAGAACAACCAATAACAGAAGCACCATCGACAACCCGGCTGTGAATCATTGGCCACGAGTTCTCCTCAAGACGAACTGTTGCACATTCAAAGACACGCCAACTCAGCCCCCACCATAGCCGGTCTGCCAACACCTTCACGGGCAGTCAGTCTTAGACAGTCAGGTACCAAATATCAGGTCCAGGGGTACTTGGAGGCACCAGGATTAAACTGTCTGAGTCCACTTTAAGCCGCTGCCACTGAGGTCACTACCGGCTCCAGACCCAGGTAGCTTTCTAGAGAGGACCCTTGCACAACATGAGGGTGCTCCGCCGCTTATGCTTATTGAGGCTCCAAGGCTGTTTTGCTTTGTTGGTCAAGGCAATTTCCCCTCTTTAATATTGATCGATTTGTTAGTATTTGATTGTTTCAAGTTGCTTGATTGAAGATTGATTTCAAGTGGACTTTCCTTTCCTTTCCTTTCCTTATGTTGCCTCTGTTACGTGCGGAAATCTGAGGGTGTTCGTCATCTTTCAGCTGCTCCGATCTTCTTCCGCGGGTATCGATTGTGTTCCAGACTGGGCTGCGCTGCCTCTGCCTCTGCCTTACCTTCACCTACAATCGTTTCCTACTACCTTACCTACCTTATCCTACCTAGGTATTCTTTCTTGCGAAGCTCAGCTCCTTATTCGCTTCATACCGCTTTTGATCATACAGACCCTGTCTGTCAGTGTCTATTCTAACTCAGCTCATCATTGGCTTGGCACTGCATCGTCGTTGTTCTTTGCCTTGCTTGGGGGTCGCTTCTTTACGTTATTTGCCACCACCCTAAGAGCTAGACTAACGTCAACCAACCGACGGTATACCACCTTGCATCGATCTATCTCATCGCCTTGATAACCTCGTTTGGCTCTTGTTCCTGGATCGGGCCGGACCATTTCCTCCTTATTTATTACTTCCCTTTTAATCCTCCATATGACCCATCTACCACTCAACCTGTGTTACTAATCTCAACACCTGTTGACCTCACGCGGACCTCCTCACGCTTGGTCTCCTACAATACCCACCCTCGATCTCTCGCCTTGACGACATCTTGAACCATCTTTCAGTCTGGCGTCGCGCGCTTTTCGCCTCGCCGGCCTTGCTGTCGGCCTTGGTTTGAGTGCCTTGACTGCGTACCAACGCAGCCAAGCGCAGCAGATGTCTTCTCATGCCGAGAGGCATGGCCACCTCGACGCGACCGCGGGCCGTGAGGTAGTCTATTGCCACGCCTGCGCAGGGGAATGGTATCGTGATGAGAATGGGCTGACTTGTCCCGAATGTCACGGCGAGATCACAGAGATTGTATGCTTTCCGACGCTGCCACTTGCTATCCAAAATGCTAACCACATTATTCAGATTGATCCTGCAAACGATCCTCGCGACTTTGATCACCACTCCTCTGCCTCCACCTCACCCGAGCATCACCCGTACGATTCAGATCCTGAAGAAGCCGACATAGATGAGCATGCCCAGCATGGCTTTGTGTTCCGACGGAGCGTCCGAGACGGCCCCAATCACCCACATCATCATGATCCCGCTACTGCGCCGACTTATGAGCGCTTCTGGGATATGCTTAACGGATTTGGACCTCGAGCACCGCCTGGAAACGGATCTTTCCCACCGAGCCCCGGAGAACGTGAACAACCCCAAGAACCAAACTTTGGACCGCGCATTCACCGGACGACTTTTACTTCAGGGCCATTGGGTGGAACGACTTCTGTGACGATCTTCTCTGGACCTATCCATACAACAAGCCGTGGTCCTGCTAGCCCCCCAGGAGGCGAGACATTTCAAGAGTATGCACAACCCCCATCTCAACTTCCCGAACGACCTGGCGGTTTACGGGTCACGGCCATTACCATGACTATGGGAGCTAACCAACGTACCAGTTTCTTTCAGAACATGCTACGCGATATTGTACCACCACCACCCGCTCATGATCATGGCGGCGAGGAAGGCGCCGGAGGTCCTCCACCAGGTTTGGCTCGAAGCTTGCAGGATATCCTGAATCTTCTTAACCCAGCAAATGCCATGCATGGTGATGCAGTGTACTCCCAGGAGGCTTTGGATCGGATCATCACTGGACTCATGGAGGCCAATCCCCAGTCTAACGCCGCCCCTCCAGCTACAGAGGAAGCCCTAAAAAATCTGGAACGAAAACCAGTTGATAAACAAATGTTGGGCTCGGAGGGCAAGGCAGAGTGCACTATTTGCATCGATGAGATGAAGGAGGGAGATATGGCCACATTCTTACCTTGTAACCACTGGTTTCACGAGGAGTGTGTCACATTGTGGTTGAAGGAGCACAACACATGCCCCATTTGCCGAACGCCGATCGAAAAGACTGATCGCAGTGGCAACAATACTGGCGGCAATGGAAACAACAATAACAATAACAATAACGGCGACAGCAACAATTCTCAAGGTCCCAATCCAGGGCCTAACTCTGACCAACCCAATCCGTTTGGAACGCGAGCGTCATTCACGTTTACTCCCAACCAGTGGACACCATTCGACACCCCTCATTCTCACACACGCCCGGTGCGATTCTCACGACCTCCGAGTCAGAGCCAGAGTCGCTTGAATGAAGCTTTGCGCACCATCTCGAACCGGCAACAAGAGAGGGAACGTGAACGCGAGCGTGAACGAGGTGAGACATCGGGGTTTAGTTACGACACGTCTCGACTTCAGCGACGAAGCTCACACTCTCCAACAAGTCCTAGAGCGACTGCCCCGAGTGAGCATGGCGCTCGAATGAGACAGAGAAGCCCTTCTCAGAGCAGCCGACGGTCAGTGGCAGACTCGGACCAACAACGTCGACAGAGCAATCATGGCCCCATTAGCTGGCTCCGCGATCGATTTGGCGGAGGAGGGCCTGGTAACGGATCTCCACGAGAGGGAAGGCGACAGTAGGATCGTCACTCACCAAACTCTGGGGGAATCACATGGGGCACGATATCAGAAGTCCTGATTCCTCGTCATTCACTCGCTAGGTGGAATGAAGACAATGAGAGGTCTTAGAGGCAGACCTTGGTGAGAGAACGTATTGCTGTCATGCCAGCTCGATACACAGCGTGCAGTGACTGCAGTAAAGTGCCAATTGCTTAATGTATGCGCATTGATGTAGGGGATAGAATAGAGGTTTAGTTGGTAGTGAACAAGGGAATGATTGGAATTGAGCTACGAGCGGCATTGCTAATTACATAAATGGACGTCAGGGATACCCCATAAAGAATGAAAACTGAAATTGGGTGCTGTTACTGTGATCTCGAGCCATGCTGACTGTGTTGACGGATATCTGACACTTGTATTCCCGACAACGCCTGTTCAGTGTGCAAATGCTCATAGCCTTCTGTGAGACAATGCTGATGTGTCTGAGTCTACTGGCTGGTTATTGAGATATTAGGCGAGTCTTACAAGAGCCGAGGCTTGTATCGGTCTTTGACTATTAAGATGTCTGTGAATTATAGACGCCTCACTGTTTGTAATATACCGAAAAGTATGCAGCCTCTTCTAAGGTCAAAGCAAGATAAAGGGGGAAACTCAGGACAAGAGATATTTACTCTTGAGAATAGAGTAATGTATTTAACTATCTCGCTGTATGGGTCCAAAAACATCACATCGCTATTACGCAGGCTGCTACTAACTTAATCTCCATATCCCTTGGTGAACTTCATGGTCTCCCTTATTGGCTCTTTTGCTGGTGGGCTATTTACCAGCCTATCTGCCCAACTAAACTCGACATTAATCTCAGGTATTGGACCCGTCACAGGTGTTGGACCGTTTCCAGAAGGCTGGCTCCTTTCAGGCGCGTGTGTCTCTTCAGGAGGTTGACCCCTTCTAAGTTATGGGTCTTTTTCGGAGGACTGGCTTGTTTTCCGTTTGTCGCCCTGAGCAACCTCAGCCCAGGTCGGCGCAGAGCGTGCAAGGAACTCGGCTGGAGTCATCGCATGTGTTGGAGGCGTCACCAGCGATGGGATGTTTTCAGGAGGTTGGCTTTCTTCAGGCGGGTGTCTTTGTCCAGAAGATCGGTTCCTTTCAGGTGAAGTTATTCTCTCAGGAGACGGGGGCTTTTCGACTGACTGTCTCTTTTTTGGAGACTGCATTTCTTCAGATGAGTGTCTCTTTTCTGAAGGCTGTGTATTGGAACAAGAACTTGAGCCTCCCTCCATAGACTTTGGCAAAGAGTCAGTCCTAGTTGAGGAAGCTGCAAGTTGAAACTCTTGCCCTCGAGGGTTCAAAGAGGCTATAGATGCTACTGTAGTCTGGCTTACGCCTCGAGTGTGTCCTGGCCGAGGGGGGTTTACTTGAGGAAGAGGAGGTGCCGGCCCTGATTCCTAAATATTTTCGGGAGGCTCGCGGCCGTTATACCATGTAGTAGCGCACTGTTTTTGTTAATAACTGCAAACAATCTAATAGTTATTTGAGATAAAACTCACGGCTGCGCAGAATTGAGGTCCTTTCAAGCCAGCTTTCGTCCCGGCCAAATCACACAGAGGGCAGTCGTTGGCCATGATAAGGTCGCTGGTTGTCAAGGTCTAGCGAAGCGAGCAAAATTGTATTGGTTAATAGTATACAACGAACGGATGACTTGTTCGGTCCATCAAGAGGTTGTGCTACAATAAAGATGGAATACGGTAACCAATATGTTGATAACGAAAGTTGTGATGTTAACCACGATGATGTTGATGTTGGTTGACGGGGGAAAAACAATTTCAGGCATTCTGCAGAATCTATAACTCTTCAGTTAAGTCTTTGAGTATTTCAGAGGAAAGAATTAAGTTAACCAGGCAAACGACAAAATAAACGGCTCAAGTGTTTGCTGGGTAAGGAGCAATCGCCTCTCAGTTGCCTCTTTTTGTGTTTATACCAACATACAATTCTGTTGTGACAGCCATAGCTCATGAGGGGAATCGATGGCAACCCCTCAACTTCCACTCTTTTCATTTGCAATTCACCTGTGCGTCTCAAACCAAGCTCATCAGTGCATATTCGACCAAGGTAAGTCAAACTATACAATTCCGGGGTTTCTTTGTGGTTGACACTTGTATGCAGCAACCTAAAGTTTGGCAACAACGCGGTTGCTTGCTGTTAACTTCAAAGAAACAATTTGCTCAAGCTTACGTCTTTCAATGAGATCTTGCTGAAACATTGCACCAGAAACGGCGCTTCAGGTTAGCGGACTCCTGCGTTTATACGAAGTTTGCGGCGTGTTGGGTATAATGATGGAAGATGCCGATGTGATGGGGTCTTGGCAAAGATGGGTGGTCAGTACATAGGTGAATGAAGTTAGGTTGTTTAGCGGCTTACAGAACAGACGAACAAGTAGGATAAGAACAGATAGCATAATGATACTAAAGTGCTTATTGCACATGTGCGCTTTCCTCGACTATTAATACTCGCGGCATGGCTTCCCAACTGCGAACTGGTGCACTTACTCTGGTGTCGTGACCGTCGCCAACAGTTGATGAGGAAGCATGTTGTCAGGTCAGGGTCCCTGCGACCTGTTGCTCCGATATCAAAATTTAAGTTTACATGGTACAAGAGTTTAGCTAGGAAGATAAAGACGTGAGCCGATGTGACCTAAGATTAAGATCAGAGGCAGGGGTATAACTCAAAAGTTTCAACCTCGCCGACTACACACGGAAGAAGGAAGGGTCTTTTTGAAAGCTTTTCAATAATAACCATTCTCCAACTACCTACTCCGTACGGACCATCATCCCGACGGTCGTGGCCATAATAGCTCCGAGCCAACATAATGTTGATGCATGGTAAATTCCATGTTGCCAAATCTCGCCGCGGCTGTCAACAACATCACTAGTCATATTGTCAGGTTTCATGGTCTAACGGTTATGACTGCGGATTCTGATTCCGCCAGCGAGGGTTCGACTCCCTCTGAGACCTATCCTTTTGCCCTTATCGATGAATTGGTGGTGGTTGGTGACTCGAGTTTTTTGCGAGATGCCATCATCAAGTATGAAGCCATTAGTACTGACCATACAAGGCGCAGCAATTGGAAGCACTCAACAAAACAGCCCAAGAACACCTACCCAGTACCTACTGCAGGAACGGGCTTTTCGGTAATTCATAAACACCGTTCGAGGTGCCAAGACGGTGGGGAGAAGTGATCGACACGCCGACTGCCCACTTGCCAAAGGACAACATTTATATGCGAGCACCAATCGGGGAACCCGTGAGCGTCGTATTCTGTACCAATTTCGCATATCCCCTGAATTTAATGCTATTAACTCATTGATTATTCCTCCGTAATAAGGGGAATTCGGATGATTAAATCCAGCCGTCTCACCGCTTCGGGTTTCGGATCCGGTCGGGAGGAGTGGGGCACCGGACACGGCCGAGAATTTAATGGAGATGCCGAGGCATAAAAAAGCATGAGACAATGCCTAGGATCGACAGTAGACAGAAGACAGAAGAGAAAGAAACAAAGACCAAATGGCTCTAGTGAGTACTATGGTTGGCACAGTAAGAGCTAATACCATAGCAATATAGGTAGTTTGATATAATGAATGCCATGTAATAAACGTACGACTTATGTGGCTAGATCCGTCCGTAGGGTTCTTGTACAGTTGGAGATGCAATTCTACCTAACTGCAACAGGTTCTAGGCGACTCTAATGCGCCTCCCGCGATTGGCTTACGCTCACGGCACTTGGCACAAACGGGGCCGGGTTTTGAGAAACGGAGACGGACGGGAGCCGGGAGGTTTTGTTAGTCTTGGTTGAGAGAGTCTCTCTAATAATAAAGCCGCAGCATTGGCATTACGACGCGTTGCTATGACGTTGTGAGGCGAGCAGAAAGGAGTCTGTGTCGTATCATAGTAATCAACCTTTTAATCTTGTACCTATTTAATCATTTCCAGTTCCATCTATTCTGTACCAAGAAAAGGTGGCCAAGAAACTTTCCACCACTGCAACGCCAAGTTTAATCCGGACGTCAGCTCAGCTCCTTCTGCTCATATCACATTGTTCACGTTTTCCTCAACTATAAGAACAAACGACCACGACCCATTCAACACATCTCCACCTTCTCCTCACCAGACCAAACACGACCGAACACAAAACCACACAAATACAGCATGGCTGAATCTGTACCTATTCCTGAGCCTCCTGGCTATCCTCTCATAGGAAACCTGGGAGAATTCACATCAAATCCTCTTTCTGACCTGAACCGTCTAGCGGATACATATGGTAATTAACTGACCACCGTCAACTCATTGACCGCCGCTGATTCCCCTCAGGCCCCATTTTCAGGTTACGTCTTGGAGCCAAGGCTCCCATTTTCGTTTCCTCCAATTCATTGATCAACGAAGTTTGCGACGAGAAGCGTTTTAAAAAGACTTTGAAATCTGTTCTCAGTGTACGTAACAATGATCTCGACAATTGAGCTTCACTGACCTTTCACAGCAAGTTCGAGAGGGTGTCCATGATGGACTCTTCACAGCATTCGAAGATGAGCCCAATTGGGGCAAGGCACACAGAATTCTGGTACCGGCTTTTGGCCCTTTGAGCATAAGAGGAATGTTCCCAGAAATGCACGACATCGCTACTCAATTGTGCATGAAGTTTGCTCGCCATGGTCCTCGAACACCGATCGATGCGAGCGACAATTTTACCCGTCTAGGTACGCAAAACATTGCGCCTTCATCAACATGTTCATCACTAATAAATCATCAGCTCTGGATACTCTGGCCCTCTGCGCTATGGATTTCCGCTTCAACTCATATTACAAGGAGGAACTGCATCCATTTATCGAAGCCATGGGCGATTTCCTCACTGAGTCAGGAAACAGAAACCGACGACCTCCATTTGCGCCCAACTTTCTCTATCGTGCAGCAAACGAGAAGTTCTATGGTGACATCGCATTGATGAAGTCAGTAGCCGATGAAGTCGTCGCAGCACGAAAGGCGAGCCCTAGCGATAGAAAGGATCTGCTCGCTGCTATGCTTAATGGTGTTGATCCTCAGACGGGAGAGAAGTTGTCCGACGAGAACATCACCAACCAGCTCATCACATTCCTTATTGCTGGCCACGAAACTACTTCTGGAACTCTATCTTTTGCCATGTATCAGCTTCTCAAGAACCCCGAAGCCTACAGCAAGGTTCAGAAAGAAGTCGACGAGGTTGTCGGTCGTGGTCCCGTCTTGGTTGAGCATCTCACCAAGCTCCCCTACATCAGCGCTGTTTTGAGAGAGACCCTCCGACTCAACTCTCCTATCACTGCCTTTGGCCTTGAGGCCATCGATGATACATTCCTCGGTGGCAAGTATCTCGTCAAGAAGGGCGAAATTGTCACTGCTCTTCTATCCAGGGGCCACGTTGACCCTGTTGTATATGGCGATGATGCTGATAAGTTCATTCCTGAGCGAATGCTTGATGATGAATTCGCGAGACTCAACAAGGAGTACCCCAACTGCTGGAAGCCTTTTGGAAACGGAAAACGAGCTTGTATCGGACGTCCTTTTGCCTGGCAAGAGTCTCTTCTCGCCATGGTCGTTCTCTTCCAGAACTTCAACTTCACCATGACGGATCCTAACTACGCTTTGGAGATCAAGCAGACGCTGACTATTAAGCCCGATCACTTCTATATCAACGCTACCCTACGTCATGGCATGACCCCAACCGAGCTAGAGCATGTCCTGGCAGGAAACGGAGCTACCAGCTCTTCAACCCACAATATCAAGGCCGCTGCGAATTCAGATGCCAAGGCCGGCAGTGGGAAGCCTATGGCTATCTTCTATGGTTCAAACAGTGGTACATGCGAGGCTCTCGCCAACAGACTCGCCTCGGATGCTTCTAGCCACGGCTTCAGCGCAACAACAGTTGGTCCTCTCGATCAGGCCAAGCAGAACCTTCCCGAAGACCGCCCCGTTGTCATCGTCACTGCATCGTACGAAGGACAACCCCCATCCAACGCCGCCCACTTTATCAAGTGGATGGAAGACTTGGATGGCAACGAGATGGAGAAGGTTTCGTACGCTGTTTTTGCGTGTGGTCACCACGACTGGGTTGAGACATTCCACAGGATCCCCAAGCTTGTTGACTCCACTCTTGAGAAGCGTGGTGGTACTCGTCTCGTTCCCATGGGTAGTGCAGACGCTGCCACAAGTGACATGTTCAGCGACTTCGAAGCTTGGGAGGATACCGTTCTCTGGCCAGGCCTGAAGGAGAAATACAAGATCTCTGATGAGGAGTCAGGCGGCCAGAAGGGCCTGTTGGTTGAAATTTCAACGCCACGAAAGACGAGTCTTCGTCAAGATGTCGAAGAAGCATTGGTGGTTGCCGAGAAGACTCTCACCAAATCTGGTCCTGCCAAGAAGCATATTGAGATTCAACTTCCCTCAGCCATGACCTACAAGGCCGGAGATTATCTTGCTATTCTTCCCCTGAACCCCAAGTCTACTGTGGCACGAGTGTTCCGACGGTTCTCTCTGGCGTGGGATTCTTTCTTGAAGATCCAGTCAGAGGGACCTACTACACTGCCTACCAACGTCGCCA